TTTGTATTTTTTGTGGAGATGGGGTTTTGCCATGTTGCCCAGGCTGGCCTTGAACTCCTGGGCTCAAGTGATCCATGCACTTCAGCTTCCCAAAGTCCTGGGACTACAAGTGTGAGCCACCACGCTTGGCCTAATTACTACTTTTACTTTTGTATTTTGAAGTACACTGAGATAGTTGAAGAGTAACAGACCTTTTAAGACAGTATCAAAGATGTGAAACAAAAAACAAACACCTCACTAGAAGTACCAAAGAACCTAATGGATATGGCTGAAGGTGGAATTTGTTATTTGGGAGATTTAATCAAGAATTCTTCCTAAACTAAAAAGAGATGGAAATTGTAAGAGAAAGATTGAGTGACATAGAAATTAAATCCAGTAGGTCTAATATCTATGCAAGGTTTGTAGAAAACAAACAATTAAAGAAATAATAGAAATAAATTTCCTGAAAGTCTGGGTCCTCTAGATCAAAATGCTCCACCAAATGCTGAGTAAGAAAAATTTGAGAGCACACATAAGAAGAATAGTTAGACACATCCTAGTGAAACTCCTTAGGCACATAAAAAAGATAAAATCTTACATGCTTCCAGAGGGAGAAAAAGGTAAATTTTAAAGAGAAAATTAAAATGTAATTGTTTTTTTTTTACCCAAAAACTTTATGCTAGGATATAATGGAGTAATGTCTCTAAAGTTCTGAAGGAAAAAGATCATGAACCTGGAATTCTGTACACAACCAAGCAATCATTTGTAGTAGTAATATTCTATAAAGTTTAATGCAATTGTTTGCAAAGAATTCCTAAAATTATAGTAACATATTATAATAGAGTAAAAAATAGAGAAATAAAACTGAAGCTCAAGGTAATGTGAACACATTTGGAAGTGGAGTTAGGATATAATTGAAATCATATTAAAGGTCATCTCTTACTTGAGATTTTTCTCCTATTGAGCTGTAGAAGTTACTTACGTATTTCAGATATTAACCCTTCTCAGATATATGCATGATGCTATTTTAAACAGAATAATTTTCCTAATTTTATATTTGATAGCCTGTGTATAGAATTATAACTGATTTTTGTATATTAATTAATCTTGCATCCTGCAACCTTTTTTAAAAAAATTTTTTATTGCATTTTAGGTTTTGGAGTACATGTGAAGAACATGCACGATTGCTGCATAGGTACACACATGGCCGTGTGATTTGCTGCCTTCCTCCCCTTCACCTATATCTGGCAATTCTCCCCATACTATCTCTCCCCAACTCGCCACCCCCTGCTGTCCCTCCCCTGTTTCCTCCCGACAGACCCCAGTGTGTGATGCTCCCCTTCCTGTGTCCATGTGTTCTCATTGTTCAACACCCACCTATAAGTGAGAACATGCGGTGTTTGATTTTCTGTTCTTGTGTCAGTTTGCTGAGAACGATGGTTTCCAGGTTCATCCATGTCCCTACAAAGGACACGAACTCATCGTTTTTGATGGCTGCATAATATTCCATGGTGTATATGTGTCACGTTTTCCCTGTCCAGTCTATCATCGATGGGCATTTGGGTTGGTTCCAGGTCTTCACTATTGTAAACAGTGCTGCAATGAACATTCATGTGCACGTGTCCTTATAGTAGAATGATTTGTAATCCTTTGGATATATACCCAGTAATGGGATTGCTGGGTCAAATGGAATTCTATTTCTAGGTCCTTGAGGAATCGCCACACTGTCTTCCACAATGGTTGAACTAATTTACACTCCCACCAACAGTGTAAAAGTGTTCCTATTTCTCCACATCCTCTCCAGCATCTGTTGTCTCCAGATTTTTTAATGATCGCCATTCTAACTGGCGTGAGATGGTATCTCAATGTAGTTTTGATTTGCATTTCTCTGATGACCAGTGATGATGAGCACTTTTTCATATGTTTGTTGGGCTCATGTATGTCTTCTTTTGTAAAGTGTCTGTTCATATCCTTCGCCCACTTTTGAATGGGCTTCTTTGTTTTTTTCTTGTAAATCTGTTTTAGTTCTTTGTAGATTCTGGATATCAGCCCTTTGTCAGATGGGTAGACTGCAACAATTTTTTCCCATTCTGTTGGTTGCCAATTCACTCCAATGCGTGTTTCTTTTGCTGTGCAGAAGCTGTGGAGTTTGATTAGGTTCCATTTGTCTATTTTGGCTTTTGTTGCTAATGCTTTTGGTGTTTTGGTCATGAAGTCCTTGCCTATGCCTATGTCCTGAATGGTTTTGTCTAGGTTTTCTTCTATGGTTTTTATGGTGTTAGGGCAACCTTTCTTTAAAACTGTTCACATACAAGATTATGTTATCTGCAAATAGACAGCATTTTATTTTTTCCTTTCCAATCAGGATGCATGGTATTTCTTTTTCTTATCCAATTATCCTCCAATAAAATAGTGAATAAAAGTGGTAAGAGCAGACGTCCTTGTCTTGTTCCTGATTTTCACCATTGAATATGTTAGTTGTGGGTTTTTCATAGACACCTTTTATCAAATGGAGGAAGTTTTCTTCCTTTCCTACTATCAAGCATTTTTATTGTGAGGAGTGTTGAATTTTATCAAATGCTTTTTCTATGTCTGCTGAAATGATCATGTGCTATTTGTCCTTTACTTTGATCTGGCATATTACATTGACTGATTTTCAGATGTTAAATTGACTTTACATTCCTGGCATAAATCCTTCTTGGTAATGATGTATAATAATTTTTATGTGTCCAAGTATGGTGTTGAGAATGTTTTCGTCTGTATTTATAAGTTATATTGGTCAGTGATTTTCCTTTCCTGTGATGCCTTTATCTGGTTTTGGCATCTGGGTAATAGTGGCCTTATAGGATGAGTTTGGAAGTGTTCTCTTTAGTTTTTTGGAAGAGTTTGTGAAATATTCATATTAATTTTTCTTTAAACATTTGGTAGCATTTACCAGTGAAGTCATTTGGTCCTGGGATTTTCTTTGTGAGGTCTTTTTTTTTTTTTAAACACATTATGGGCCGGGCTCTGTGGCTCATGCCTGTATTCCCAGCACTTTGGGAGGCCAAGGTGGGTGGATCACAAGGTCAGGAGATCGAGACCATCCTGGTCAACATGGTGAAACCCCATCTCTACTAAAAATACAAAAATTGGCTGGGTGTGGTGGCACGCACCTGTAATCCAGCTACTCGGGAGGCTGAGGCAGGGGAATCGCTTGAACCTGGGTAGTGGAGGTTGCAGTGAGCCGAGATTGCGCCACTGCACTCCAGCTTGGCAACAGAGCAAGACTCCATCTCAAGAATAAATATATAAATAAATAAATAAACCATTATTACTAATTAAATGTCTTTTTTTTTTTTTTTCTTAGAGACTGTTTCACTCTTGTTGTCCAGGCTGAATGAAGTACAATGTTGCAGTCTCGGCTCAGCAATCTCCACCTCTCCTATTCAAGCAGTCCTTCTTCCTCAGCCTCCCGAGTAGCTGGGATTCCAGGCGCCCACAACCACACCTGGCTAATTTTCATATTTTTAGTAGAGATGGGGTTTCACCATGTTGGCCAGGCTAGTCTCAAAATTCTGACTTCAGGTGATTCACCCACCTTGGCCTCCCAAAGTGCTGGGATTACAGGCATGAACCACTGTGCCTGGCTTAAATCTCTTTACTTGTAATTGGTCAATTTTTATTTTGTATTTTTTCTTTAGTTACTTTTGGTAATTTTCATTTTTAGGTATTTATCCAATTTCATCTATGATATTTAATTTGTTGGCATACAATTTTTCATAGTATTCCTTATAATGCTTCATTTTGTAAGGCTGGTAGTAATTTCCCTATTTTATTCTTTATCCTAGTAATTTGAGATCTCTCTCTTTTTCTTGGTCAATGTAGCCTAAGATCCGTCAATTTTGTTGATCTTTTTAAGGAGACAGACTTTGGTTCTATCGGTTTTCTCTATTGTTTTTCTATTCTGTTTCATTTATCTCCTCTCTAATAATTATTTCTGGTTAATTTAAGTTTATTTTTCTCTTCTTTTCACAGTATCTTCAGGTTAGGTTCTTGATTTGAGACTTTTTTGTGCATATAGCTATACATTTCCCTGTAAGCACTGTTTCAGCTGCACCTCATAAGTTTTGGTGTGTTGTGTCTTTGTTTTCATTCAGCTCAAAATATTTTCTAACTTATTTTGTTTGACTCATTGGTGATATAGGCGTATGTTTAATTTGCACATATGTATGAATTTACCTCTTTTTTGTTGTGTTTAATTTGCACATATGTGTGAATTTGCCCCTATTTTTTGTTGTTGATTCTTAATTTCATTATAGTCAAAGAACATTCTTCATAAGATTTTAATCCTTTTAAATTTATCAAGACTCTTAAAATCTAATATATGCTTTATCCTGAGGAATGTTCTATGTGTCCTTGAGAAGAATATGTGTTTTTCTGTTGCTTAGCGAAGTGTTCTATAGATGTCTACTACTTCTTGTTGATTTAAAGTGATGTTGAAGTCTTACATTTCCTTGTTGATCTTTTGTCTAGTTGTTCTAGCTATTGTTAGAAGTGGGGTATTGAAGCCGTCAATTATTATTCTTGAATTGTCTATTTATTTTTCCAATTCTGTCTACTTTTGCTTTATGTATTTTGGGGATTTGTGATGAGGTACATATATGTTTGTAATTGTTATATCTTTTTGACATTTTCATCATTTTATATTATCCATCTTTGTCTCTAATAAAAATGCTTGTCTTAATGTATAATTTTTCTGGTATTAGTAAAGCCCTCCAGGTCCCTTTTGGTAACTGTTTGCATGGTATATTTTTTTCTATCCTACTTTCAACTTGTTTGTGTCTTTGAATCTGAAGTGTGTCTCTTGTAGATAATATATAGTTGAGTCACTTT